AGGCAACCAAAAAATTTTTGAAAATCCTTAAATGAAAAGTTTTAGTGTAAATCGTATCATGTCCCCAAAAAGTCACGAACTGGTTTAATGGAACCCATTATTATAGACCCCCATTTATACCTCATGAACCCCCAAATCATGTTTTCACAGGCGTGAACCCCCTGCATATCATTAGACCCCTGGGGGTCTATATAGATCACTTTGGGAATCACTTTTATAAACTAACAGAAGTAGTAAGTGATACGATCAGTGTTTTTTCAAATTAATACTATTCTTTACCAATATGAGTAGTCTTGCCCCCAGGAGCAGCACACAGATCCAAGATTCTTTCATTCTCTTTTGGAGCCAAGGCCATCACAGGCAACAGAGATGCAGCTCCTTGAAGCATATAATGACCAGCAAGATATTCAGGTGTTGCACCTATTAGAGTGAAATATATTTTTCAAAAGAATGAATATAATGTTACATTTTTATGCAATAGGGGAAAAATGTTAGAAATCATTAAGGTGACTGCCTACCTTGAAAATATTTTTCGTCTACATAAGGTATTTTTTTTTATTTCAAAATCTTAAAGTTTGAACATTTTTTTTTTCTAAAACAGTTTTTCTTTTTCCTTTACGTGAAATAGAAATAAGGTTACAGTGATTTTAAAAAAACATCACTCTCTGCAAAAGGGCGGTAAGATAAAACTTTAAATGCGTTTTCCCAAAAATTATGTTTTCAATAGAAACCCTTTACTAGATACATGACATCTTAAGAACCAAACCAGATAACACTTTGAAATTTTGTGGGAATGTTTATTATACTATTTTTCATAAAGTGGACAATACGTTTTGTTGTAGGTTAAATATTTTTTCATTTAGGGTAGTTTTTATAAAGAAAAAACTTTAAAAATATCAAAATTTTCATATTATGTATAATTACCTGTAATTTTTTTTATATTTTAATATTTCTCTTAGATTTTGGGTTATTTTGAAGAACACCGTAATATGTATGTGTTGTGTATAAAGAAAATTATGATAATTGTATTAAAAACTTTTATACAGTGTTATGCATTTTAGTTAATTTCCTTGAAAACAACCAATTTTTCTAAAATACAATATTTAAAATTTTTTATGTATATACATATTTTTTTTATTTTTCTTCCTAAAAACACTCAATTTGTTTCAAAAATTTGTTTTTATAAAAAAAAAAAAAGGGTTTGAAGGTAGGCAGTCACCTTAAATAACAAACATAACAGGTACTCTTTATTATAAGGGGAATTGAACATACCTACTGGAACTTGTGAATCATAAATAACTAGACCCACTTTTGACCACTTTCCAACAGGATCAAGATTAACACCTCGGTTAATTAAAGCCTAAATAACAGAGGGAAAAATTTATCTTTTGAATTCTTGGTTTACACAGCACACATTTAAAACTATTATTCCAAAATTTATAAAACTGTGCAAAATATATTGATATTTTAAAAAAAATAATGCAAAGATAATTTATTTAAATACTATATAAAAGCTTTTTTAAAGCTAAATGACAGGGGTCAACAAATTATATACAAATGAGCTTATTTTGGAAAAAAATAAAATAAGGAGAAACGATTTTAATACTTTTTGGGTGCTTAGATTGCAATATTTACATAAAAAAGGAGGAGAGAGAGCGAGACACATAAATTCTTAAATCAGCATCAGAATCAGAGTTCTTGAGCGGTTTAAGATATTCACATTCAATTAATGGGATGTCTGAATGCATAAATGGCAACATGCAACAAGTTTTCCCTCTGACTATATGCTACCTTTTTTTGTCCTTGCATCTCCTCAAATTAAAGATGCTCCACTTTCAAATTTGTTTCTCATTTATAAAGAAATGCCAAACAACCATACTGTTTGAATTTTCCACAAACTTGATTACTTGTAATTTGATTAGCTATATATGAATCTGTCTTCCTGTTAATTTTCAGAAACACAAGCACAGAATTTACATGTTTTCAATGTAAATAAATGCATAAAAAATGTGCCAGACTCATGGCCACATGTTTGAAACTTACAGAGGTTTTCTTCTTCTAGTTAGTAAATTTTCAAACTTTGGGTAACTTTTGAAGGAAAAAAACACTCTGACATAAATGAAACTTGATGATATTTTCCCTAAAGGGCTATGGATGATCAGCTGCAGTCAAAGGTACATTATGTATGTCAAAGGTACAAGAAAAGATATAAAACTGTACTTCTGACCTAATTACATTTTGCTGAACATCATCGCTTGAAAAACAATCCAAATTTGAACAATAGTTACTTGGACTTTTTATTTGCAACATGCTTTGAAGCTTTCACAATGGGCAATAAATCAGCCACCAATAAATGCACATGCCAGTACAACTTATGTCAAAAAATACATATTTTTTTCTTTTGGAATGCAGTAACACAATCGACTTCCATTATATAACCTTCTTTATACGCTTGAAAACATATTTTTCTGTTGTTACAACAAGATAAAGAGTACAATAAATGAAAGCAAGCTATTTAGCAATAATGAAGATTTAAGAATATGAACATACAAAGCACAAAATGAAAGGAGTTCAAAGTTGCTACAGTGGAAGAAAATAAAAATCCACTTAATGAAAATGCCCCTACAAATCAGTCAAGAATCAATAACTAAGGAAATATGATATACGAGAAGGGCAAACTTCATGTTTCTTTTAAAAAACTTTATAGTGATAAATCTATGATTCTCATTCGTCCCCCCTCCCTTCTGGTTGTGAATATAAAATGCTCAATAAGAACTGTAGAAGAGAAAATAGTAGGAAAATGGCAGAAATTTTGCTCAAATGCATAAAAAATAAATTTGTATGTAAAATCTAAAAGTTGGTACGTACATAAATGATAACTGGATAGCCTGACATTGCATAGGCTGCTTTTTTGAGTATATTACTTTTCCCAAAGGGGAAAAAAAAAATTCCCCTTTCACTCTACTCAGTTTTATTTTTAGACCAAAATGGGAGGGAAACATTGCTGGCATTTCAAAAGAAAATGAATACATAATTTGCTGATGTATGAAGTTTAAAATTGTTTTTTGAGGGCTTAGTTTAAAAGTTAAAGCTTCAAAAATTCAAAAATTAATAACAAACACCAGTTATTTTTCATAAAAATTAAAAAATAATAATAATCAAGAAATATGCAGATAAGGTTAGACCTACAAGAAACAAGTTTCATGCAATTTTTCTCCAAAAACTGCAAAAAGTCAAATCTCAAGAATTTTTAAAAAATTGTTTAAGAAAAAAGGAGGGTCTCTTTTAAATTACTGGGTCTAAAGCAAACAGAGTGTGCATTCTTTCAGGATGTAAGCTTGATTGATTATGATGAGAAAATGTAGAGCAACTGAGATATTCTGTCAGTAAAAACATGTCAACATCAACTTTTAGGAAAAATGCAAAAAGACAATTGTTATTTAGTAAAGTAACTTATATTGTGTCTTGGAAAAATAAATGGTCCGTCTGAATTTGGAATTATTTTTTGTCTGATGGAAGTTTTAAGAATGATGGAAGTGTCGGAATCGCCCAGCCCCCTTCAGTCTCAGAAAAAAAAAAAAAAGGATTGTAGGGGTAAGCCAATCTTTTTACTTATTTTAATTTTAGAATTTAAATTATTGAAATGGATTCCAAGGATTATTTCCCATATTTTGGAACCTTCAGCGATTCAAGAAAGAAAAGCTCCACATAGATAGCTATGTTTGTTTACTCTCAAACTTTAATAATGTAGATATACATTTTTTTTTCTTTGTATATAACCTACCAATTCAGTTACATATCTAACAAAACAGAATCAAAGATTTTAATCATAAAATAAAACTTTAACACAACTTTTTCTATAAATAAAGATTAAATATCTGATACTTACTTGGGCCAAATCACCTCGCCTTGTTTTTAAAGTATTTGTACGAATAGTTACTGGACGTTGGACTTCATTTGCCTCTAACACTTCAATCAACTAAAAATAATAACAAATAAAAGTTTTTTAAATAACTTTAGGCAAAAGAAAATTATTTTACGAGTATTTTTCATAATAATAAATGTTACCTCAGATGGTGAAAAAAGTTCAAATAATTTGTCCATCATGAACTTATTGTAATTATAATATGAGCACAAATCAGACTTCAACTGGTCTGTATATTCATCTCGTGACCTGTAAACAAATTAAGTCACATTTTATTATATGAAAAACAAATATATATAAATAAAAGGAATTCAGATTTTGATTAGAAAGTGGAATCAATATATTTTTCAATATTAATATTTCAAACTTGAGCACTACATATACAGAAAGAGGTAAACTGAAACACTTATAAGCCTTAAAACATTAAATACATAAATTTCATAATTAATCATAATATAGAGAACATGCCAATTAAGGGTACAAAATACTGAGAAAATTCAGTTGTTGATATGCTAACCAAAAAATAATATCACACAATAAGGTTTCTCACCTATTTTTTTCTTTTCTTGATTTAAAATCTGCGAGGACATATACTATGTCTTTTATTCTTTGACTTAAAATAACTAAATCAGGCGGAGCAATTCTTGATAAAGGTTAAAGAAAATATGTTATATACTGAATAATTCCAATTACATCACATAATTATTTTAAAGAACTATGCAGAAAAGCAGCTTTCAAGCATAATTTTAAAAATATATAAAAAAAAATTTCTTTGTTGACCTAAGAAGGAATTGATTTAATTTTTTTTTTTAAAGTCTATTCCTACTTAGGTCAACAAAGAAAATTCTTATTTTAGTTACTTTTTATTAAATGGTTACAATTAATATAAATATGTATATACATATGACAAAAATCACAATATTAAGTGACACAATAATCACATTAAGAAAGCAATTTTAATTTCTGTACATGGTGTTGGGACTATTTTTTTTTGTTACTGTTTATTCATTAATTAAATTTAATTATTCTAATAAAATAGTATAGTAAAAAAGAAGTCACATTCTCAGAAATTAGGCCATCCTAGGTGGGAATCTAACCCATGACCTTTGGATTAGAAGTCCAAAGCACTATCCATTGTGTTACAGGTGTTGGCGCCTTCGAACGTAATTGGCGACTTGAGGGTTGACAGAATAAACATATATAATGCGCGCCACTTAATTATGAGGAGAGAACGCTGATGCAACTGACTGAATTAACATGAAAGGCATGATGCTTTGGGCAGAGCGCTTTAAAGTGATATTTCTTCTTAAACCCTGTAAATAGTCTTTAAATGTTTGTGTGTGTGAATGTAGTGCTGAGAAGTTATGTTTAGTCATCAATAAACTTATTCATATACCAAGGGCTCTTCATTTATAAGATAGAACAAAATCAACATTACAGTCCTCTTGCTCTCCATTGAATTCTCGACGATTCAACAGGGACACAAGTGATTTTCCTTTTTATATATGGTGTTGGACTATTATTTGTTTGTTACTATTTATTCATTTTTTAATTTAATTTGAAAAAACTATATTAACAGGTGTCATCCACTACAAGTTTAAAAAAATGTATTTGAACTTGAATGGATGAATAGAAAGTATCTTATTACTGATTGAAAAATTGAAGATATATACATATATATATATAGGGAGAGAGTGAACTAATAGTAGGAATTTAAAAGACTATGTATGTAGAAAGAATCTAGTACTTGAATATTATTGTAAACTAACTTTTCCTCCTCCCATTTTGAAGAATTTAAGTTAAGCTTTGAAGGCAAAAGGAAGTAAAAATTTATCAAAATACAAAAAGTGAAATGCTGTCCAAAACAGAATACCACTTACTGTTATTTTTTTTTTTTAATTCATGCTTAAGGTTATCATGGAGTACTAATGATCAGATTATAACAATATTCTAACTTTGGGGATACAAAAAATACAAAAGAAAGTAAACTTTTCAATTAATATATCCGTCAAATGATAACAATTTTAAAATGCTAGATAAAAAACATGAAAATTTTCAATCTGAGTTGAATGAAAGTTCCATGAAGATTGTGTTTAATCCTAGTAGAAATCCAAAGCAATGTCATGTATAACATTTACCTTTTTTGAGGATATTATTCAAATATTTATTAGCACAAAAATAGTTCAATAACAATCAACAAAATGATTATTGCACAGTCATTAAACATCAAATAAAATCCTGAATATAACAAAAGCTGAATAAGAATTTTTGTAATACATTTTTACGAGAAATTCGGTGTTATTATTTTGAACAAAAAAAATCTTAAATATGGCAAAAGCAAATATGTATAACTGTTTACCTAAAATCATAAGAATGGTTTTTTACTTGTACACAACATGAAAATAAAATTAATGCAATATTAGCTAGACAACAATATAAAAATGATATATTTGACAAAAGAATTAGATTTTATTTGGTTGATCCTAACTATTGGCATAAAACAAATGTTAACTTTTAATTTCTTTCACATATTTAATAGCAATAGTTCAAAAACATAACTTCTCAAATTGTAATTAAAAAAAGAAAGCTCTAAATAACAATTAATCTCAATTTTAAAAAATTAACTTCAGATAATAAAGTAAGTAGATTCCTTTTTATATTTCATCAAAATATTTTAAGACATAAAAAAAAGGATATTTTCCTTTTCGATTTCCTGCCCGCTTGGAAGAGTAAAAACTTCAGTTTGAGCAATATTTGACAACAGTTCAGCATCACCTAATTTTCTAAGAGGGAAAAATATCTTTAGTACAATGCATATTTTTTCTAAGCAAATATCAATTTCTCTCATAACTTTTCTTTCAGAAATAACAACAAAGCTTTAATTGCAAAATAATGATAATATAATGAAATTTAAAAAATATTAAAATAAAAGGTTTGAACATAGCAATAAACTCCAAACAATAAATTTACTCCAAGATTTCTTTCACAATCTCAATTATCTGAATACAATGATATAAATATAATTTTTTTTTAAACAAAAGCAATATTTTCACATACAGTTCATGGCTCAAGTGTAGTATAGGAGGGGGGCACATCAGATTTAGCGATTTTTATCTAAATGTCATGGTGAGATATCGAATTCATTCTATAATAAATAATTCCGTAAAAAGTACCTTTGCGACCTCTTTTAGTCGCCAAAAAAAAAAGGACTTCACCAAGTGGCCCTCCTATACTACACTTGAACCCTGTTCCTAACAATGATAAATTAAATAAAAAAATATCACAGGGATAACATTATTAACATTTCCTTTGAACTGATTGGTTGAAATCATAACTCAAATTTTTATAATTTGCATAAAACTAGAGTTATGAAGAAGCAAAATAATTCAATTAATAAAATCTATATTAATATGTGTTAAAAAAAACTAATTTCTTTTTAGATATATTTAAAAAGATTAATGAAAGCAGACTAGTTATTGATGAGTGGAAATTACTTTTAATTATAAGCATACAATAATTAATTTTTTGAACTTATTATTTCATCAAAATTGTTAAATTGCTATAAGCATAAGTAACATATCCCAGTAAGTGAACCCAGCATTAAGTAAAACATTTGATTAATTACACAATACCTTATTACAAACTGTATCCTATTCATCCCAAAAGCCAGTATTAAAAGCATCAGACATTTTGTATACTTCTAATATTTTTACACACCAAATACATAATTAATACAAGTTTTACATTTTTATTCTTTTTCAGTGAATATTCCACTTATCAAATAACTTTTGAAAATCATACAAAGGATATTTGGTAATAATATATCCCAATGAAAGGAATATAACTTAAAAGAAAAGGAATATTCCCAGGTCTTTACGAAACAAAATTAATTATTATAAAGAATAATGTGGAAAAAAAATCTAAGATAAAAGGCAAATTCAAAAAACTTTAAATGCACTAATACAAGTGCTTATATATGTGTTGGATCAAAACATTTAACAACAAAAGCACACTAATAAAATTAATATTATGAAACCTATCCCTTACTTAGATTCTGCTTCTTTCTTAGCAAGCTTCTTAGCAGCTTTTTCAATAGGTAACATCTAAAAAAAATGAAATATACATGTTTCACACATTTTTAACATTTGAAAAATACTGCAATAAAATGGAATATACAGGAAAAATAAAAATGTACAGAGCAATGTCTTTCTTGTACAAATTAAAAATGCTATGTGGTAATATGTTTCAAAAACCAACTCACACAGAAATTGTTCATGAAATTTATATGATAACATAAATCACTAATTATTTTCAAAACTGATTATCATAATTTTCAAAAATTACTTAATTGATACTCTTATTTTAGTATGATTATGCTCTAAGCAGTATGATTTTGAGATACACAATCATTGTCATATATCATGCTATGTTATTGGAATTTTTAATCAATAATGTATGGTTAGATACCTTTATTAATTCAAATGTACAATTAATATGCTTATAATTCATGTATAAGAAGCTTGCCGAAGAAAAAAATAGCATTTTATACTAGTTTGTAAATTAATACAGAAAAGAGACAAGGAGCACTAAAGACTACACAGAAAAATTAATTAAAGAATAGGGAAAGGTGTTAAAATACAAGAAAATTATTAATACAAAATAAGTTCAACATACAATTTATATATATAAACATTATTGTTAGCTACTTATAAAGGAATATTGTCAAAGTAAAAATCTGTAAAATGCTATGATTAGAGCTTCAATATGCAAATAATGGAAGAATGTTAGATTTCATTGATGATTAGAACTTCAATATGAAGAGGGAGGGGCAAAATCAATGTCTTATTATTCTATATAAGATACTAAATACTCAAAAATAATTTTAAAAAAGAAAACACTGCCATTAAATATTTATATATTTGCATGTATAAAATAAAACATTCAAAATAGTTTTTTGAAAAGTACATTTTAACTTTAATTATTTGTAGCATTACTATGTTAGCAGAATATTTCTTTTTTTAAATTTAAATCAGGAAAGAAAAGACTCATTGTATTTAAATATTATAAATAAGATTTTTAAAAAAATATATTTCAGTTTTAACATACTTCACTTTCTTCATCCTCCTCCTCCTCAGAATCAGATCCTTCAGCATTAAAATCATCTCCTAAGACATCATCATCTAACCCATTTAATCCCTAAAATATCCACAAATGTCAATAACATACGAAGAAAATAAATTACTTGCAATCAATGGTAATAAAATAATTTTTAAAAATTACTAAGTATAAGAACCTGTTCATCCTCCTCATCAGAATCTTGAAAGAGTTCTTGCTTGCCTTTTGGTTTTAGCCATTTTTTATTATCATCTGAAAACAGTTTTGATTTCTTAGTATAACTTTCTTCAAGGTTCTGATCATCGCTATCGTCAAATAAATCATCTTCGAATTTAACCTTTTTTGAAATAGGTTCTTCATTAGAAATAACTTCCTCATCTGCATAAAGAAATAAATTTATGTACCAGTAAATATAAAAAATAAGCTTTAAAATCTATATGAAATGAAATAATAAAAATACCAAATGATGCTGATTTTTATTTCATTTATTCATGAGTGACGATAATCGATATACTGGAGGTTAATTATTGTGAAATCTTTACAATTTTATATACATCTATATTAAATAAATAAATAAATTACAATAGAGAAATTTCAAAAGACAGCATACACCAGATTTTTTAGACATACAAGCACATTTAAATTAATACCATCTAGGTATATTAATATTTTAACAAGGTTATTTAATAACAATGAATTCAAACATGAAAGAATTAAGTTCTCATAACCATTTAGGTACTTTAATTGAAAATGTTTAAAATATAAAATGAATTTGCATTAATAAAATCAATAAAACAGTCTAGGAACAAACAGTTTAACATTTTATACTATAAATACACTCACTTAAAAAAGTTAAGCACAGAGAGGAAAATGCTAATTTTCGGAAGCTAATCAGAATTGAAGAGGATGCAATTCGCTGCAGAGGTAGATAGAAGTATGCAAATATGTTAGGTAACAACCAATCGTGCTTTCATGTCAAGAAATATACAAAAAGGGTAGTCATATCAGAAGCCAGCTTTATGAAGGGTTACAG